ACACACACACACACACACACACACACACACACACACACACACACACAACGAGTAACACAAATGAAAACAGTAACAGGAATTAAGCCAAAGGCCTTGTGTATGCAAGACAGGCATTCTCCCCTACAGGTAATCTACACCCCTGCCCCTTTAAAAGGTATACTTTTTAAACTCTCAGTCAACCATTCATCTTAGAAATGAAATCCTCAATTAGTAACACTCTTTACAGTATTATTTTATGTGTACAAGTATTCTGCCTGCATATATTTCTATATGCCACATGCATACAGGGTCCCCTGAAGCCAGAAGGCACTGCTGAAGCGCTTGGATCTGGAGTTACATGTTTGTGAGCCTCATAAGGATGCTGGGAATTGAACCCAGGTCCTCTGGAAGAGTGGTAGCCAATGCTCTTAACTGCTGATCCATCTCTCTTATTTTTTTAAATACTTACCTATTTCATACAACAAAACTGCAACACATCCCTCATTTGGAAATGTGTCAAAGAATAATTGCCTAAGGTTCTAGGTTCCTGCACAAAACATTATTTATTATTATATTTATCATACGTGTGTTTTTGTGTGCATGTGCACACACGAATGTGCCATGGTACAGGGCAGTGAACAAGCTGTGCAAGTTGGTTTTTTCCTTCTCCCACATAGGTCCAGGGGCTCAAACAAACTTGGATTGACAAGCTTGGCAACAAAGGCCTTTACCCAACACACTGAACCATCTCACTGGTCCTGATCATTCCTTAATGAACCTTTTCTATATTTATAAAATATATTTACATATAATAAAATATATTTATATTTTTTACATTTATAACACTTATCTCTCTTCCTTTCACCAAATTTAATTTTAAAGATTTAAAAAGTCCTCCCTTTATGTTTTGGTTGTGAGCCCAGCCTTTAACAGCTGAGCCACCTCTCCAGTCCCAAAATTCCTCACTTTGTGTGCGTTCGCTCCCTAGTGCTGAGGGCTGGGGTTAAAAGCCTGTGCCACCACCTAACAGTGCTTGGAAAAGTTTTCCATGGTCGGCACATCAAAATTATCATTCTAAGTAGTACATACTGTTCTCTAAATGATGTACCATTTTTTAACCAATCTCCTACTCATGACATATGGTTGCTAACATTTTCTCTTACAATATGTTGCCTTTAAAAGTCACATAATTCCTTGTCCTTATAAACAATTAGACTCTTAAATTACATGCCCATTCAAAAAAAACTCCAGATACGAGGATAGGTACACTTAAAGCTTCAGGGCTTTCCCTAGCACTACCATTTAAGTACAAAAAATCCCCACTTTCCAGTGAACAGTGTGCAAGGCAGATTAACCGACTAGAACTTTAATCACTGGAGAGACTGGAAGGCTGCAGGTCCAGAGCCTAACTACAATTTATCCTGGGCTATCTTTTTATCCTTCTGACTAACAGGCAAAATCTTCTGAAATGTATTAATGGTCCACTAGCTTCCAGAGAGCAGAGAGACCGAACAGCATCAGAGATGTACGACAGAGCTTTCCCTCTTTTGCTTTAATCCACATACCTGCTGTTTCTGCTAATGAATTTGAAGAGTGCCTTGATTTGTAACCTTTTTTGTTCTGCTTTTTTTTTTTTTTTTTTTTAAACTTCTTCATCAAGCCATTATCTTTTTGGAATGTAAAATTTGAAGTAACCTAAATCTTCGTTCCTGGGTTATCTCGTATTTGGCATCAGAATAAATTCTCTCTGATTTTGAAGTGAGAATTATGTCTTTGTATTCACCATACATATTTTAACATGCTCATAAAAACACAGTATAACCACTAAGGGAAACAGTATACAGATTTTTAGCAAGCTAGAAGTATCATATATGATCCAATGACTTCATTACTAGGTACACATACAAAGAAAATAAAATAAACACATAAAATAATTGCCTAAACTTCTCCATTTACTCCAATTCATTTACTTACAAGAGTGACCCTCTATATCTTGGAATCACTTCAAGTGTTCATCAAAGATGAACTGATGAGCAAAATCACACACACACACAGACATTCATGATGAACTGGTGAGCAAAATCACATGCACGCAGACAAACACACACACAAGCATGCATAAATATTGTTCAGCTTTTAAAACTGAAGCCTAGCATGCAGCACTGTGACAGGGCATGAAGATACATTGGCTGCTTTTCTTGTTGCAGCATGTGGGGACGCTGAGGCAGCTGGCCACACTGTCTGCAGTAAGGAGGCAGAGAGAACACCAGGGCTCAGCTCCTTCCTCCTCTCCTCTAGTCTAGACCACAGCCAGAGGATGGTGCTGCCCACACTCAGGGCAGAACTCTTCTCCTCAGCTGAACCTCTCTGGAAAACCCCTCAGATATGCCCAGAGACACGTTTCCTAGGTGATTTTAAATCCAGTAAGGCTGACAATGAAGACTAACCATAACAAAGAACATCACATTAAATGAAATAAACAAAGGACAAAATAAGAATGCTGTATGTTGTCACTCATTTTTCCAAAATAGTGGGTATAGGAAGACACAAAGGAAAGGAATAAAAATAGGGTAACAGGTACGAAGATAAAATTTGACAGAAGGAATTAATTCTAGTGTTCTTAGCATAGTTTGGTAACTACAGCCTATAATAATTTACAACAGATTTCCAATAACTAAAAGTATCTGAAAGCTCCCAATACAGAAATAAGTGTTTAAGGAAATACAAATGCTAATAACTATGGCCATATACATTACATATATGATTTAAATTTTTGTGTTATACCCCATAAATATTTACAAGTATTACATTTTTCAAATGTACTTCTTAAAATTCCCTATATGCTATGGATCACCAAGATAAATCTTTCTGCTTTTTAAAAAAATCTCCTGTGTGTATTTGTGTGTGTGTGTATGTGCACAAATGGAGGCCTGAGAACATCCTCAGGTGTCATTCCCAGGAAGACCATGTACCGCGTTTGATTTTTTTTTCTTTTTTTTTAAATTGAGTCTCAAACAACCCAAGTTAGCCTTGTATTTATAATCCACCTGTGAAAGCCAGAGGACATCTTAGGGATCCGTTCTCTCCCTTCACCTTTACACGTTCTGGAAACTGAGTTCATGTCTCTAGGCTTGTCCATCAAGTCTCTATGTTAACTGAGCCATCTCATCAGCCCTAACTTTTTATCTCCCAAGATATTCCCCCTGTTATCACAGCCACACCCTTCTTCCTATTCAGGCTTAAATATCATTTCCTCAGAAAGGACTTTTATAAACACGTATAAACAAATGCAGTCTCCAATCACATGATAGAACTGCGCCTTTCTCATAAGGTGGCTATTTTCCCTGTTTATCTGTTCACTGTCTACCTCACACTCATGAGAACGTAAAGTCCAGGACAGCAATGAAAGTCACAGGAGAGTCCATGTTTCTACTACTCTTATTTATTAATTTTTGAGACAGGGTCTCACTGTATAGCTTTGGCTGACCTGAAACGCAGACACCCGCCTGCCTTTGCCCCCCCTGATGCTGGGATTAAAGGCGTGCTCCACCTAGCCAGTTTACTCTTATTTTGAATTCACTGTTCTGGCTTTATTAAGTAACAGTAAAGTCTTACCTTTTAATAAACATTCCTATTGAATAAATACAACTTGTTTACATTAACAGGTAAAAAACAAGTCTAAGCAAAATTATTTCCTAAATATTCTCATGCAGGCAATTGTGAAAAATAACAAAAATTCCAATCATACTGAATTATGTTTTCCCAGGCATTATTAAAAAAAAAAAATTACTGTTCATCCAAAACTCTTTGCAACAGAGGGAATCCATTGCAGAAAACCTCAAACAATTAAAATGCAGAATTGTGGAGCTCAGTCCCAACTGGTACATTTACAACACAACTCCTGCACCAAGACTCAGGGATCATTGAGGAAAGGTTGAGAGAAAGAGTCAAAGAGCCCGAGGAACAGCAAGTTTGCTCAGAGTGTATCTCTTAGAAATGTCAGAGAAACTACACCCATGAAGTCTCACCAACATGGCTTACCTAAAAAAGACCTGAATAAGGAGGAAACCAACAGACAAGCCAACACGAAAAAGGAAGTTCATGAGCCCTCAAACAAAGCTAAGAAATACTGAGAGTGAGAGAAACAGATTCCTCAAGAAAGGACACACCAACTAACTATCTAATATCACATGGTCAGCCCTGAAAACACATACATACAATTAATGTTATATGGACTGAGCAGATTGTATTCATATATTTGGAAATACACTCTCACATACACACACATCTATGCAACAACAATTAAAGAAAAAGAGGTCAGGAATTTGAGAAATAACAAGGGGTCGTTCAGGGAGAGAATGGAGGGAGGAAAAGGAAGGGAGGAAATGAGGTAACTGAAATCTTAAAAAACAAAAAATAATAATAATAAAACAAAAACGAATAAAAAACTTTGAAGTTATTGCAAACTTTACCAGCATTGTGAAAGAGAACAAAAATAAAGACAATGGCCCAAAACATGAAGTGATAAATGATGGCATATGCATATAAAGAACTCTAAGAAGCAAGAAAACAAAAAAAGACACGTTAAATACTTTGTTCAATGACAGAGGCCAGACAAAGAGTCTCACAGACTCCAACTCCCCTGACAGGACTGTAACAAAGAGCAGCAGTGAGAACAAGAGCAGCAAGGGAAATGGAGACAGAATGGTTTTCCCACATGTCAGAACCCACCAAATGGTAGCTGTCCTTCAATGACCCAACATCAATTATCAAGCTTTTTAAAATGTTTTAAATAAAATTTTAAGTAGATAAAAATAAAACTAAAACCGTATTACAAACTGTATCAATATTATAAGGGAGTTAACAGTTAACGTGAAATGAACCAATGTCACAAGCTGATTTTCGAGAGCTAAGCTGTTGTGTTTAATTTTCAGTTACCTGTAGAAGGTGGTGATTTCTCTGAATGTTTTGCATTTAGTAGTTTTCTACTAATAAATATGTAACCACAAGGACATGATTTACATGCAACAGGAATCTGCAGGGAAAAAAGAAAAACTTGATTACTCTTCTTCCATTGTTAAATTTCTTGGTACTCAGAATCTCTTGGTGAATAAATGGAAACTTCTTTGAGAAAGGTATCATTTCACAAACATTCACATTTTCCTAGTGCTTAGCTTACAACACCTGAATATCTTGCAATACCAGTGTCATAAATACTAAATGCAATGTAAGCATATGGAGATATGAGTGAGCAACAGAAATCCTTAACAGATCAGGAACAGGGGAGGTTTAACATGATAAAAGGCAGTATTTCCTAAACTGTTACACTGACAGCAGTTTACAGCAAATTAAGAAAAAGAGAGTGGTTAAGATTGTGGTTAAGATAAACAGAAGATTGTGAGGCCTGGCTGGAATACTGAGAATAAAACTGAAATGGTGGATAAGCTACGTTTCACAAAAGGAAAAAACAAGAAATGGACATGCAAACCAACTACTGCTCATGTGAGCAGAACCCAGAAAACTGAAGGTTATTAACAGGACAGGAAGAAAACAGTTCTGTTTTTGCATTAATGTGCTGAACAGTGGATCTTTTTCACTTTTAAATTTTTTTACTATTAATAGTGTGTATCTGTAGGAGAGAAATGGGGGCACTGTGGAGTCTACGCTCTCCTTCCACTTTTGCTTGGCTCCACACTCAAGTGTAAGATCTGCATTCAAACAGCTTTACCCACTGAACCACCTCAGCCGCCCTGGTTTTTGCTTTCCTGAGACAAGGTCTCAAACACTGGCCTTGCTTTATAGCAAAAGCTACCCTCGAATTCTTGATTCTTCTGCCTCTCCTCCCAAATACTGGGATTACAAGTATGTGTCACCATGCCCAGTACAACACAAGATCTTTAATTTACACTTAAGAGACAACTATCGGGCCTGCAAGATGGCTCACAGGTCTGATTGCCTAAATTCAATACCAGGTAAGAGACAGAAAGAACCAACTCCCCAGAGTTGTACTTTCTATACATATACAGGAGCAGCTGTACACACACACACACACACACACACACACACACACACACACACACTCTAATTAACTAATTAATTAAAAAGGAAGAGGACAACAGCAGGACCTAGTGATGTGACTTATAATCCTACACAGAAGGCCAAGGCAGGGAAACCACTAGTCCATAGGCCACACAAGCACAATTAGTTCAAAGCGAGTTTAGGCAGCCTGCTTAGACACTGTCTCAAAAATATAAAAAGTCAGAAATGGTAGAGTACTTGCCTGGCATGTACTGAGTTCAACATTTAGTTAAAAGAAAAAATAAGAAGAAAATAAAATCATATAAACCATAACTAACAACTGAAAATTAGTTTTGCGACCCACGTGCACACTAATTTCAACTGACAAGGTGATTTTCTTTAATGAGTTCAAGATACTTTCCTATGTCTAAGCTAATTCATTCTAAAGTCCTGTTTAAAATGAGAATGCCCCTCTTAACTCCTGCCCTAGAAATTTGAAACAAAAACAAAATCAACAAAACCCACCACCATGACCATAACCAGGTCCCTCAAGCACAACGGACAACTTGAGTAACATTAGTCTCATTAAATTACAGCATTAGGGGGATTTTACAAAAATGCCTTAAGCACTCCTTAAATTTCATTTAACATTAAGACAACAATTTAAGTTCTAGTGCTATACTTTCAATTTTTAATGAAAAATCCAAAGTATTGTTTATTATTTATCAATTCACTCTTTTAGAAATATTTTTGGGTTCTATATTTTGAAGGGGAAGGAAAAAGGTATCATTACTGGTGACTAGACCCGTGTCTAGCACAAAACAGAGACCAAGTGACTATTTGCACAGAATGAAGAAAAACCCTGTTAGGTAGAAAAATGGTGACACTGCTAAAACCTGCAAACAAGGATTTGGACTTGAAATTGTCCAGGACCAAAAAAATAAAATAAAGGATTTGGGCACTACAGTATTTCATTAATTTAATGCCTAAAACAACAACAAAACTCATTTGTTGAAATATCATAATTTTTGCTTTCTGAGTTTTCAATTACCCATGGTCAATAAGAAGGATAAAAATGGCAAAGAATATTTAGAAAGAGATTGTGATTGTTGATGCAAAAACAGCACTTGTGTCAAAACAAGTTAAGAGTTTATTCTGGTACTAAATATGAGTAACCAAGGCCTAGGAACAGATTTAGGTTACCCCAAATTCTATGTTCCAACATGAAAGCAGTTCCATGAGCTTTTTATATAATAGAACAAAATGACACTTAGATCAAAGCCCTTTTCAAACACACTGCTGGAAGCATTAAGTAGGAAGTTACAGCAAAGTGGAAAAAACCTTTGCTATAGGCCTCAGATGCTGTCTGATAAATCTTTAGCCCTGTGATTGGTGGAAATGAGGGCTTTAAGTTAACTCACCCCCTAAGCTTTTTATTTTTCAGATGTAGGTCTGACACAGAGAGAGGCAGGGAATGGCTGTTAGTGGGCTAACGACAGCTCAAGTTGTGACTGGGCCTGCAACATTCCATCCTCTCCACATCACTCACGCTTTAATCAATCAGCCTTTATGGACAGTTTCTTTTCAAGAATTCCGGTTCACAAAACACCACAGAGCTTTTATTAAAATATACCGTTCTATCTAATTATTAGCTGTTGACTGCTTATACCTAATTTATAAATTTCATTATAGGTATGTAGACATATGCAAAAACACAGTATGGGCAGGTTTAGCACTGTCTGGGACTTTAGACATCTACTATAGATCTTAAAACGTACCTGCCCAGAACAAGGGGACAGTACTGAGATTCTTTAGTGCTAAAAGGTCAGAGACACCCACAGCACATACGGTTGATAGATGTGACGTGCATGGGAAAACAGTGCATTGTTTTTTAAAATGAAAGCAAAACCAAAAATATTCATGAAAAATAACAGAAAAGTGTCAAATATATTGACTAGTAATATACCCAAAATAGTTTACTACTATTCCAGCTGGTGAATGAGACCTCCATGAAAATGAAGAGCACAAAAGTTTACAAGTTATAAAACTGTATGTATTTTTATCTAGCCAACTGCAGAATTCTCACTTTAAAGATTTAACACTTATGTTTATAAACTATATACAAAATCTAATTCAATATTCATAAAATAATTTAGAATCTTGGCAACATCTAGTGTCTTGTTTAAAAAGTTTCTTTTTTAAAACTAAAATCTTTTACTTTTTAAGTAATTAGAAAGCTAAAATTAACCTATTACTTTCTTCAACTCAATTACTATTGTTTAAAATAAAAATCAGCAAAGGGCTCAAGGCCCTGGATTCTGACCCTGACACTGAGAAATCACCAAGAATTCATTTGCCATCACGCATATTCTCTTCAGTATTGAGGACAAAAGACAAAACAAACCAAAGCCAATCTCCTAGTTTATAAAGGACTAAACTATGTCCACTGTCCAAAATACACATAGCGACTCCCTGCGCCCAGCTGTGACCCTAAGCCTTTCCCTGTAAGGCTTTTCAGAGATACTGAGTGTAAGCGAAGCGCGGGGCTGATGCTCCTAATGGGATCAAGGACCTTAATGAGACCAGAGCATGCACGTTTTGCCACAGGAGGACACCAGAAGGCAGCCTGGCATCTGCAAGCCAAGAACACTCTCACTAGAACACACCCTGGCCTTAAATGTACATCAGAACTGTGAAAAAATAGATTAATGCTGGTTATTATATCCAGTCTGTGGTATTTTATTACTGCATCCAAAACAAACCAAGATAGAGTTGATTTTATACAAAGGAATGCATGTGGGGCCTGGGAAACGGCTCAGCAGGTAAAGGCACCCTCTGCCAAATCTCAGTTCCAACCCTGCGAACCTTACTTGATGCAAGGAGACAGCAGACTGCCACAGGCTGTTCCCCGACTCCCGTGGATGAACACAATGCATACAAAATCAAAACGGAAAAAAAGTAAATGTGTATGTGTATACCACGATGACTGTCATCTTTCCCATAAAGGCCTGATTTGTTGAAGAGTCTCAAGGACTCCTGCAAGTTTACTGTCTTCTGCTCTTCCTTTAGCAGAGGTTTTTTTGTTTGCTTGCTTTCTTCAGTTTTCAGTTTTGATTATCATTAGTGCGTATATGTGACTGTGTATGTTTGAGTACCACAGCACGGATGTGGAGGTCAGGGGGCAACTCTGTGCAGCCAGCCCTCTCCTTCCACCTCTGCAACCGTTCTGGGGTTCTACCTCAGGTGGTGAGCCTTGAACTAAAGCACCTTTACCGGCTGAGCCATCTCTCTAGCCCCTAACTGAGATATTAAAACCAGATTATTTTCCCCAAAAGATTCCTTTATGCCAAGCAAAACAAGAAAAGGGTTTATAAGGATTTGTGCGCTACAGAAATTGAATGCATAATTCATATTATATAAGCCTTACCTGGAAATGACTTCAACATCGAAGTAATCTGCCAACAGACTGATCACAAAGTCCGGGTTTGTTAAAATTTATTTTGGTGGAAAGAACGACTGTAACTCTACACTTTGGAAAACATGACTGTTTTCATACTGCACACTGGTACGCTCTACCTGCTACACTTGCAAACTTTCCGTGATCAGCATTTTTAACGCTGCCTATAAATCACACTGAATAAAACATTTAACACCCTTTTGTTAGAAGATTTAATAAACCTACAAGAATGCACCCTAATATATGAAAATCAGCTTATTTTAAGACTCCACTCATTTCAGATTACTCGGGAGACAGAATAAGAGAGAAGGAAGGGGGAGAGGAGGGAGAGGTAGTCATTTTAGAACGATTCATTCAGTGGAAAAAGAAGTATGCTCAGATCTGCATGTCAGCATTGAAGGGCCTTAAGGATGGTTTTAACAGAGCGAATTTTTGTTCATTACATTGTAAAGAGGCGAATGAAAAAATACAACTAATTACTCCATGGATTCAATCTAAATGTAACTGATTTCAAATTCACGAACTAGCATATTTTTTTTAAAAAATCTGGAAGCATACATGCCAAATTTACAACAGTGAATAGCAAGAGTGAGATGGGGAGCACGCAGAGAGGAAGAGCCTCAAAGCCGGCTTTATTTGATCGTGTTCCGTTAACGACGTAATGGAAGGACTAGAAATCACATATCAAAACTGGGTTGTTGGTGTTTCATTTTTTGCGGCGTTCCGGAAGTCCTCAAATTTGCAAAAAGTTAGCAGCATCACTGTCCTTTTGTCTGCTTTAGGCTGCCACTCCGGTGGCGGGGGGACAGGGGAGGAGCACACCGCACTTCCCCAACCGCGAACAAAGCCGGCCGGGGCGACAGGGGCCCGCGGGCCGGCCCGGCCCCCGCTTCAGGCCCCCGCCGCCCCCGCCCCGCCGCGGGCTGCCGCGCACCGCCA